ATTCAAAATGTTTAAAAAGAAACTACAAAAATCAATTTAAAGTGCAAATTAAAATATAGTTGTGTCTGCAACTGTATTTAATAATGTTTTGAACTTTTAAAATTTTGCATCGTAAAAATAGAAGCTGCACTTCATTCATATTAGTGACAAACTTTGGCATTTTTTGATGGGTTACCTTCATTTTTGCTTCTACTTATCATTTAAAATAAGTTTCCATTCTCGGCAGGTTTCTAAGTTTCTTCTTCTACATGTTAAAAAGTTGTTAAACAACTGAATGGTGCATTACTGCTACTAGTCGTGAGAAAGTGTATTGCATCTTATTCAAAATCAATGCGGTCCCACGGCCCTCTGTGGCCCAAAGTTAAAAACTGTTGTTCTTTTGAGGCCCTCAAGGTGGCGCTCGGCCCATGGGTTAAGAATCTCTGGACTAGAAGGTAACGTCTGTGTTCCAAATTAGAATATTAATAAATAGAGTTTAAGTCAATTTTAGAAACGTTGTAAGATTTGTAGCTGATTATTCAAAACTGTCGAGAGTTAAAATATGAATAGATGCTTTAAACTTTCATAATATTTCTTGGAAGAATGTGACTGTAGTGAGCTAAAGAGCTGTGTGGTCTTTCAGAGTTTCTACTGTGATTCACAGATCATTAGTCTGAAGGAGGTAAAGAATATTTCAGATATTTTCAGCCTGATTTTCAGGGCGCTGTACTCACCTGACAGGAAGTTGTTCTGGGCATCCAGCTGAGCAGAGATGGTCTCCACCCAGCTCATCTTAATGCTGGCAGAGGATGCCTGCAGAGTGAAGCGTTCCGCTGATCCCCGAGACCACAACACAAACTTACAGGGGTCTCCATCCACGCTGTCCTGCATCGCCAGATAGGTCACCTGATCAGAAGGACAACACTGTGCCTGTTAACACCTTATGTGTCGCTCAAAACCTCCAGGACTGCTGGCGTGGTTCAGCGTCACCTTAATGCTATTCTTGAACTGGTACCCTGGGTTGCTGGAACCTTTCCGCAGCAGTTCACTGAAGATGACGATCTGCTCGAAAAGGAAAACTCTGCGCTCTTTGCTGCGAGATAAAACTCCTCCATCCTGTTCCCAGACACAGAAGGTTTCCTGCTGCAGCAGCTTCCCATGAGCAGTCAGCTTCCCCTGGACAAAAGCAGGTAACTCCTTCCATTAATATTCCCAAAATGTTTCAACTACATTAAGAGTATTAATAGAATTTCATGTCACTTGATTCAATTGGGTCTCATTAAGGCCAAAAAACCCTAGATCTTCTCATAAATGTAAACTTACTGGACATCACGTTTCAGTCATTATAAAACACTGTTAACAATTTTTAGCCACTAGGAGGCAGGAAAATACCCAGAACTCTTAAAAATCTTTATTGTTAATTCTGTTCACAGACATGCTAAAGATTAAAAGAATATGAGTGTAAAAGTGCGAAAGACTTTAGTTCTGCTGCTTTGGGTTTGTTAGACCTCCTGTCTTAAAATGCAGCAGATACTAACATCTTGTCCTCAGTGTTGTTACTAATATTTTGTTTTATATCTTTCCTTAAATCTAAGTCCTTAATATTTATGTCCACTTGGAATCTGCAGACCAAACAGGAAACACAGTGTTTGGCAACAATAATTTGACTGGTATGGGTATGTAAAGGGTCTTAAAATGTCGACAAGTCTACCTCATATCCCTGCAGGCGTCCCAGGTTCATCATGTCGTTACAGCGTTTAGGAACCAATGACATCAGCTCCACCGCTTTCTGCACAAAGAACACACCCACACATGTTAAACATTACAACAACTGGTGATGATTTACAGGCTGTTGGTTCATCGTCCAGTGTGAATCATTTATTATCTTCCTTACAATGCTGGTATAGACAGCTCTTTGTCTCCAGCAGGCAAAAAAAAAGACTTCAAGTGAGCGTTTTTTTTTTACTTGTGAACAAATGAAATGACTTATGATGCATTCTGTACCTACAACCAAGGGGACAACTAGCCTCAAGCCTTGTTTTAAGGTGAATTTTGAGGAGGTACAAAATAATCAGCAGAAAGGACCCACCTCAAACTCCTCAGTATCCAGTCCAGCTTTGGATGTATATTTTAGAAAATCCTGACAAAAACAAATGGAAGCATTAAAATAAAATGAATAAATAAAAAAACAGAGAAAACCAGAACAGTAAGTAAATATTAACAAAACCAACAATTTCAAATGTGAACAGTCAGAGTCCAGACCCAGCAGGTTATGTTTGTGGTGAATATATATATATATATATATATATATAT